CCCAGCAGTTTAGCCTCCTGCTGAGCAATTTTTCGTTCCATATCCCTAATATCAGTCTGAAAGTATAAGGGAAAATACTATTACTATTGTACTAGTGTTCAACAATGTATTTTTTAATCTTTGGCACTAAGAATAAGCTCAGGCACCTTCAAATTTCCCCCCTCTTCTGGAGTAATGTCACATCATTAGCAGTTGGGTTGTGTCAGCCACAGGCTGCTAGAAACTGGAATTCCTAACTGTGGAGGAAATCAGGCAGTGTGGATGGATGGGCTTTTGGCATTCTCAGCCCCTCTCAGGACAGGTAAATGTACAGCTTGTCCCTGGGACAGTGGAACTGCTGGAGCCTCGGGAGCTGCTGCCATCTCCCACCTGGGAAATGCTCTCTGTCCTTTGCCTGGCCCCACATCCTCTGTCTCATTGTTCCAAGATGATTCTCAGGCAGGCAAAGATTTTGTGTTGGTATTAAGGTGTGAAGACTGTTCAAAACAGTCTTCTGTGCCAGAATAACAAAAAGTGTAGGATTCCTCTTTCCCTTTACCATATATTCAGAGGGCACAGAACCACGGGAATGGAAGCACATGTGAGGTGCTGAGAATACACTGAACTATAATGACTATAAGGACTGAGAAACACTTTGGTGTACTTGTGGTCCTGCCCATGTTCTGCATTATATCTTTTTTTCCAGTTACTAGCACAGAATTGAATCAGAACTCAAGGAACTCTGTGGTCCTTGAAAGAAAAAATCATTATGTAAAACATGAATTTTATTAGTACCAAGATCATCTGTGTTATACTGTCTTTAAAGTATTTTAAAATAAAGACCTTAAAGTTATGTCATATTACTGAATAACTACATATTTAAATCCTAGCAAGTGAATATAATTTTATATAATAAAAAAAATAACCAAAGCATACCTGGTACCTTTCCATCAGTGTTATATCCTGTAAACACACTTTGGCACCTCCCTCCTCAGACAAAGCTGTCTGCAGGAATGATTCCTGTTCTTCTATCTCACCCTTCAGGCCTGTTAAATCTCTGTTTGCATTCAGGATCTTGTTCCTCAGGTCTGGAATTTCCTTTTCTTCGAGTTCAACTACAGTTTGCCTTAAATAAGATATAAATCCCTAAAATTTCTTCTGTCAAAAACAGCAGCATAAATTGAAGACATTCAAGATCATAAAATCTGTGATATGATTTAATAGTGGAAGATTAAATTTAACCAAAATAGTAACCCCTTAACCTTGCCCACATTCAACTAAGCTTGTGTTACATATCCAGCTAAGGTAATAATCCCTCATTTTAGACAGGTGAGATGAAACAAAACAAGCAAAATCTCTTTTGGTTTTTAACTTAATTACAGCAAGTGCCCATGAGAAGGTATAATCCACTGTACAAGAGTGCCCTCTTGTGAAGGAAAGCTCTACCCTCATATATTCTCAAATGCTCTCAAAATATCTCAACAAAATAAATTAACTAGATAAATTAACAATGAGATGAATTAACTAGTCCTAAAATAAAGCCTCCTTGACAGTTTTAATAATCAGAAAACAAGCATTTGCAAGAAAACAGCTTGCAACAATCTGGTTTGCTTAGTACCTCACCTCAGTGGTTTAAGGCTCATCATTTCATCCCGTTTTTTCTCCTTCCTTTTAAGCTCAGTCTCTGTTGACTTCAGCTTGTCTGGGGCCAGGCGCAGCTTGGACTGCAGGTCACTGATGACATCCTGCAGTTCAGCCTCAGTCTGAAAAACTCGCTGGCACACTGGGCAACAAGACTGGCTCTCCTCTGTCAGCTGTGTAATGAACTGGGAATAGACTGCAGTGGCTCCAGCAAGCACAGCTGGCAGAAAAGCAAACAGAAGACTTATGCTGAATAAACAGTTCATAAGCAGAGCTAAATCAGTGCTTCAGGGAGAAAAAGCAGAGCTATGCGTGAATTTACCTCGCTGTTTGGAACTTTTTTCAATTTCATCTTGAAGTTTGTTCAGATCACTGTCAAAATCTTGACTTCCACAAACATCAAAAAGTTTTGCTTCATGCTGGGACAACTGTGCTTCCTTTTTTTTCAGCTCATTACTGGCGTAAGTTTTGTCATTTTCTACCAATGCCAGTCGCTTGCTGAAACATCAGTGAAGAAACTCTTATATTTCCCAAAAGATTTAAACTGTTTAAGCAAAACCAAAACCATGGGAAGTTAATCCAAAATTGGTATTCCAGCTGTTCACCACTTCTTCTTCAATGATTTTTCAGCCAATCTATAGCATTGACTATGCTATAGATCAAAGTGTTTCATTTTAAATCCCTTTAGTTTTCTATATGATGAGAAACTCATTTCTAACAAATAAAACCCTACAAAACTTTACAGAATAGGATTATCTACTGCTGCTTGTGAGATATTACTGAACCTCTCAAGGTTGTTATCACTCTTTGACACACTACAAACATTGTGATTTTAACAACTAGCACAAACTGTGTCAGCTCTACATTACAGGAACACTGCAGGATGCTTTCTCTGATTTTGCAGATACCTAAATAAACAATAACGAATTTAGGTTAAAACTATGTTGAGCACATTAAACTTTCCAACATTTAAAAACATAAATACTTATGGAGACATAAACAATTAAATTAATACCTACTTAAGGTTAGCAAGTGTATCCCTTGTCTGATTAATCTTTTTATTTTTACCATGAAGCCAGTCTTCAAGTTGTTTTTTATTTGGGAAGTATCCCAACAGGGACGTTAGTTCCTCAGAATGTCTTGATTTTACTTTTCTAATCTGCTCTTCTTTCTCTGCCTGGGGAAATGAAGCATTTTAAATTAAAGTTTTCATATCTTCAAGTTTATAACAGTCAATGCATTAATTAAGGTAATGGCTTCTATGAAGGCTTTACATCTGATTGGTGATAGACATCTGAAAAATACACAAATCTTGGAGTGACTGTATCAACTTTATGTCCCTCTCTTATGAGATAATGATTTAAAAATTACTTTGTCTTTCTTCAGCATCTCCATTTGGGTAATTGTGGTGGTGTGTAGATTCAACTGCTCCATCTCCTGATCCAACCTCCTGAGAGCTTTGTCCAGGCTTATTTTCTCACTTTGCAGAGTCTGTACCTCCCGTTCCAGCGTTTCTACACTGCTGTTCCTCTCAGCCTTCTCCAGGTCATGTTCCTACACAAAAAATAAATGGCCAGAAAACACAAATAATGACACAAATCAATGAAGTTCTAACTAAAGGAAAGAGAAGAAAGCTCTTCAGCTCATCAGCTGCTACAGGACAGGCACAAGATTTGTAAAGAATTCATGTAAAAGGCCCAAGGCTGTGATGCTGGCATGGGGCAAGGCAAGCCCCAGGCAGAGGCTGGATGCACTGTCCTGGAATGCAGTGCTGCCCCAAGCCACTCATGCTTTTGCCAGAAGCCATAACCACATGACATAGCTCCAGGAAGCTCTCTCATATTTAGTTTGATTTTCTCTATTTTAGCATTTACTGTATATTAAATTTGGAGTTACCCTAGTGAGGAGGTTAGAAAAAACACTGTCAAGCACTGAATTCATATACTGCTAACACACATAAAATATTTGGCTACAAAGGCATAACCAGCTGTTCAGCTGGAACATAAAATGCTTGTAACTTTACAATATTTCATCAGCTAAAACACTTATAACCAAATAGTCCATCTCACAGACAAGTTATCTTGACAACTGTAGGTAGTGTGGCACTTCAATTCAACGTTTCTGGCCCACTGATTTAAGGGTGACTAATCTCCTTGTGCTGTAAGTAATAGCTGTGGCTATTACTCTATTTACAACTCACCAAGCAGCAGCAGCATATTCTATGTGTGCACTGACCAAAACCAAAGTAGTGAACAGGCCCTGCCCCAAGGAATGCACTATCTAAAAAGACAAAGCACAGTGGGCATTAAAAGGCAAAACTGCAGCTGACAGAGTAAAGATCAAGGGGGGTTGAAGTTTTTTAGTTTTTATCAATTTTTTTAATGATACAGCCCAAAGTTTTTACTTCAAACTTCCATAATTTTTTCAGTTACACATTAACTTACCGTCTTGCCAATCTCCTCATCCAGCTCACTAATTCTGTCTGAAAACCCCTCCAACTGCTGCAATTCACATTTGACTTTCTTCAGCTCATCATGTTTCTTATTTTGAATGTCTGACTTCAGGTCAATGGTTCTTTCTAATCCAGTTTTCCTGTCTCTCATGTCGTCTATCTGTTTTTGTTTCATTGCTTCTTTTCGTGCAAAGTCTCTCTGAAAGAAGTCAGTGACAATATACTTATTATTTTTTTCACAGGAAAATATTTAAAATACTTTTCCCCACTAGTTTGCAAATAGTCACCACTGTAACACAAGACACTGAAATACTGAGAAAACTAGAACTTGCCCAAAGTTTTCTGCTGCAATGTTTTTGACAGGAAAATGCAGATGCATCATACCAGTAGTGTTCCGTAAGAGGAATTCCATTTTTAACATGACTTCAACGAAAAGCTGCTTATTTTTAAACCAGCTGCCCACTGGAATTCTTCCTCAGGCTTTTGAGCTTGTCAGTGATCCACCTGCATGAGGGCTGCTAGAAAAACCTATGTGACAAACTGCCTGTCCAACAGCCTTCATGACCACTCCTAGTTCCAAAACTAATGTCCATGGAAAGATTCAGGCAACCCACAAGCAAGGATTCCAGAAGAAAAATGGCTTCAGCTCCCCCCCCAACACTTCCTCCCAGCACCTTAAAGACACATCTGGACCAATAACACACTAAGTGGCAATACTGATGGCACTACTAAAATAACCAAGTTCTTACCATCAAATGATTTGCAGCTTCTGTGTCTCTCTCCTGTCTCTCCTTCACCAACCTGTGAAAACTGGTGATGTGCCTTTCACTGAAGGGTGCTCGCTCAAAACCATCCAGCTCCAGCTGTGCTGCCAAGGACTGAATCAAGGAATCCCTGGTCATGATGTGCTCCTGGTGACGATCTGCCTGCAGCTGCAGACGACCTCCACAGAGAGAGAGAGTGACAGGAACGTTCAAAACCCCAAGATACATTCAGGATTCAAAGTCAGTTGCAACTATTAAAGCTTTTGAAATGGAAGTATTTTTAAACAAAACAAAAAGCTACAGAGTAAAAACAAGCTGTAGCAAGAGACTGTTGTTTCAGGTAACTAAATTTTTATTAATGTAATAAATCAATAACTTAAAAGCAAGCCTCTTAAAACACTAAAAATATTGCTCTGATAAAAAACCAAACCCCAAACTTATTTTATATAAGCATATATTCTGTGCCTCAACTACTGCAGCTCTGCTGAAGTTCCCATAATCCATCAAAAAGAGAATACACAATGTATGAAAGAACACTACCTGACTCACCCCCATTCCCCACGTGAACAGAGGATGCTGGGCTTTCAGCTTTCATGTTTTTCTCAGTTCTAAGACAAGATGTACCACATGTTGCAATTAGAGCTCAGAACAAGTGCACATCAGAAACTCTGGGAGCAGAACACCCAGACCTGGCCCCCTGCAAGGTGCCCACACCCCACTGTGCAGCTGAGCCCAAACTGATGCACATTGTAGGAGTTGTGTCCAGTTCAGATCCCTTCAGTTATTATCAGTAGTTCCACTTCAGATCTGAGTTACATTAAAAAATAAAGACAAGGTTCTAGATGAAGTCTAAAATACCTCGTTCAACAAGCAGCTCTGATTTCTCACTGTTGAACCTCTGGCATTCTTTAGTGGCTCTGTCCAAGTCACGTTTATAGTCCAACAATCTCTTCTCCTTCTCCTTCACTATTCTCTGGTGGTTCTGGTACCTATCCCTTAGTTGTTCATCTGTTCCTTGGAAAACCTGTACACCAAATACAAAATACTTTATTCTGTATTAATTAAATTTATAAGTCAATTATTGATGCTTTTAAAATGTACAGTTTTTATAACAGAATTCAAGAAATAAAAGACAAACACCTCCCATGCAGAATTTCTATACTAACACATGTAAGGGGAAAATTTGCTACAAGCAAAAACTGGAAAACATATTTTTCTTAGGCTGATAAAACAAATCAATCTCAATTTTTGTCACACAGGAAACCTTTTCCATCTTCTGTTGCAAATCTTGATTATCTTTCTCCATTTGCTGCCTCCTGCTCTCAAGGGCCTTCACATCGTTGTCCAGCCTCATTACTTTTGTGAGATTCTGTTCAACTGCTGCCAGAGAACTCTGCAAAAGAAAGAATGCTGGAAGTAAAATATCTCACCAGCTTATGAATCCCATAATCAATTATTTTAAGTGTAAAACCCTCAGCATTATAAAATACTTGTAAAAAATAGGGAGGGCTAAGTTTTAGTTTAGTGTTCATTTTCGTTTCAGATACCAGCTAAATTTCAGAGGTTTAAAATCAAGCAACCAAAAACCCAATGCTGCTACAAGAATTCTATGTTCTTAAATCTCCAGTGACTGTTTACAGGTTAGAGCAGTATCTGTCAGGCGAGCTGAGGTGTGCTTAATTCTGCTTCAGGGCAAAGGATTAGACATAAAAGTGTAAGATTTTTGACTGTTTTGTATTAAAGTATTAACACAATCATCATGCAAGTTACCTTCAGAGGTTCAAGCTGGCTCTCAATTGTTTTTACATTCTCCTTAGAAGCAGCCAGTTGAGCCTCTCTGTTGCTAAGATGATCCTGGATTTCCTGGGCTTTCTCTTTATTTTGTTTTAGATATTTCAGTTCTGTCTGACACTCTTTTACCTTCAAGCTTTGTTTCAGCCGTACCTGACGCAGAGCTTCAAGCGCTTTAATATACCTTTAAAAAAAAGGACAAAAAATTTCAGATCTTTTGGCAATATAGCAATGCTGCTGTGTGAAACAATGCCTTAGACATTTTCATCAACACCTACGTTATTAGAGAAGACATCTTCTTACTTAGTTTTTATTTAATTACAGTAAAGAGAAAAACCTTGTTGCGGAAAAGATCTCATCGAATTTTTGTTTGAGGGCCTTTCCTTCACTTAACGGCCAGTTGGACTCTTCTTGGTGGCAGAAAATGACGTTGTTGAGCACGGATTTGGAAACCCCGAGGGCACTGATCATCTCCCGATCTATCTCTGCACACTTGGAACTCAGGCTGCCGATCTTCTCGCCGTTCCTGCCCGAGCACAGGGAAACAAAATCCCCAAAGAGGTTACCAGCAAGTTCTTTCAAAAGTAAACTGCATTTTTAACAGTATAATCTCGTTGTAATGCAATGATTCGAAAACTTAACAAGTAACAATTTTTAAGCCCATAATTACCATGTTTGACAGGTGTTTTTAACACTGTCAATATTTGTAGTCTGCCTGTTACACGTTTTAAAACTCAGTGGAACCACCAGAGGGAGCAAAAACGCTCTGAAGTAAAGGAAATACAACTAAACAGTGGAGATGGGAGTTAAACACAGGCCAAAAATGATCTGAAACTGAAAACGTTCTTATGGAAGTAAAGCCTACATACTCCACATAATGTTAATTTTAAACTGTATCGTACAATCAGAGAACCATGGAATGGTTTGGAAGGGACCTCAAAGCTCATCTTGTTCCAAACCTCTGCCGTGGTCAGGGATGCCACTATCCCAGGTTGCTCCAAGCCCATCCAACCTGGCCTTGGACACTTCCAGGGATGGGGCAGCCACAGCTTCTCTGGGCAACCTGTGCCAGGGCCTCCCCACTATCATTACTAAGACAATTTTCACATAAATTCAAGCTGACAGATTTCTTAACATAGAGGCTGTCAAATGTAGGATTTTTCAATCACCTACCAGATAAATTGGTGAAACTCCACACCTTTAATCTAAAAGCTCTGGTAGCTTTTAGGAATAGGTTATGGAGTTTTCTCTAATCTTATGCATAAAGATATCCCAAAACCAAACAGATCTTCATGCCAAAGCAAGAAAAAAACACTTGACAACTTACTTTGTCCTAGTAATGACAGATTCCAGCGTTCTAAATTCCGGGGTCTTGCCCTTCTGGGTGCAGATCATGGAGCGCTGGACGGCCACGACATCTCCGTTCACATCCCGGAACCGCAGCCGGATCTGAGCCCTCACATCTGTTTCATTGGCAACCTCAGGAGAAGCAAAAAGAAAACCCAGTTACGGAAAATTCTCCTCAAGCTCCAAATGAATATGTGCCTCCTCAGCTGGGGGGAATGTTCTCTTCTCCCCCAGCTCTCTGCTCTTCCTGAAACAATACAGTCGGCCCAAGTCTGCCAACACCCTGAGCATCCCTGTTTCACTCACAACCCCGAGTGCAGG